GACTATCTTTTATCACAAAGCGCAGGCTCAGGCACCAGCTGTGGGGCAGGAATTCCGCTCTGCTGCTCACCAGCTGTGTGGTCCCAGGCAAGCCTTAATCCCTCCCTATGCCTCAGTTTCCTCCTCTGTAAAATGGGGACACCACCATCACCACTACCACCACCACTACTGCTATGCCCGAGGCTGCTGCAAGGGTTAAATGTACGCCAAGTGCTAGCACAGCGCTGGACGCCATGAGTGGGCAATACGTGGATGGTCACCGAGTAGGAGCAGGAGCCTGTCGGGCAGAGGAGAGAGGAGTCCCAGGTTGGGGTCATGGTGGGAATGAGCAGGGCGTGCTGGGAACAAGGTGGCCTGTGGCAGGGTTAGGGGAGAAGTGGCAGGAGGTGGATGGGATGGGCCTTGAATGCCACAATGAGGAGTCTGGAATTTGTTCTGACAGCAGCTGGGAGTGATCAGAAGTTTTAACATGGGGAGGAACTGGTTCTGATTCTCGTCAGAAGGACCTTCCGAGCAAGCCCGCAGGGTGCACTGTTGGCTGGTGGCACACGCGTGGTGTGTGTGCACCTCACCAGGGTCCAGGAGACAGGCTAAAGGGTATTCCTCTCCATGTTCCCAGCGGCCTTAGACTCCCCTGGTGCTGGTGGTTCTCAGCCCTGCCTGCACGCTGAAGTCACTGAGGAAGCTTTAAAAGCCTCCCGACACTAGGCCCAAACCCAGAGCAAATCAGTTGGGACCTCCAGAGAAGGAGTCTGGGGCCAAGCTTTTTAAAGCTCTCTTGTGATTCTTTTTTATTTAATTTTATATTTTTTGTAGAGATGGGGTCTCACTATGTTGCCCAGGCTGGTCTCAAACTCCTGGGCTCAAGTGATCCTCCCACTTCAGCCTCCCAAAGTGCTAGGATTACAGGCAGGAGCCACTGCACCCAGCTTTCTCGTGATTCTAACACCCAGCCCGGACCCCACCTGGCCTTCCTTTTCCTCTGTGCCAGGCAGTCTGGGCAGGTTGCTGAGGTCTTACCTTCTGGATCAAGCTGGCAAACTGCAGGTTTGCTGACTGTGAGATATTTAGGACTGTGCTGTAGGCGTTCTCGCCCCTGTTCTCCAGTGTGGCCTCCACTGCCACTCGCCGGCGTGTGCTCTCTATGATGAAAACTGTGGTGTCGAAGGACAGCGTGTATGCGGAGCAGTCCTGTGTAGGCTTCCTCAGCACCCTCTGGCAGTACTCCCTGAGAACAAGAGAGCACCAGAGATTGGGCAGATGGAATAAGGAAAGCAGGGGTAGAGAGGAGCCCCAGGGTTGGGGCAAAAAGGTGTGTCTGGGCACTTGACTGGCCTCTGCTCATGGGAATAGCCACTGGGAGAAGAGGGGAAATGGATGGCAGGGCTGGAAAGAGCTCACCCTTCAAGACCACTTCCTATTTCAAAGGCCCTTGGTGTCCCCACCATAGAGATCATACCCTCCGCTGAACCCAGAGCTCTTATTTGACCTCACCACTCATGCATCACCACTCCATGCATCCTGTTTCCCTTTTGGCCTTGGCTGCCAGGAAGCTCAGCACTAATGTAGAGATAATCCTTATTTTAGCCTAGCTGGTTAGAATATGTGCTCCATTATCCTTCTACAAGTTTTGAATGTGATATTTCTTTTTATCGTCTATGTCATGGTATATATGTTTTCTATCTAAATCATCTCATAGTTGGATCAAAGTTGAGCATAAATTATTGGAAAATATGTTATGTAAATTAAGAATACGATATTGTTGATTATTTTCCCTGGTATGTTCGTTTGTCTCTTCCAGGGGATTGTGGGTCCCCTGCTCCCCCTCTGCTGGTGTCCCTGGCATCTTTCCATCAGAAGGATTGGAAAGCCCAAGGTGTTCAGCCAGCAGGCTCTAGAAGTCACCTCATCTGGGGGCTGAAGGACAAGCATCCAGAACTCTGAGTCCCCTGTCTCTACCTTTCATCTAGTTTGTAATGTGGGCTCCGAAGAAAGGGTTTCTTTTTTTAACAAAATTCGAGATTAGATTAGACTAGTAGTTTCATATTACAGAGGAGACTTTCCTGAGGTTATGCAGGAGTTGGAGGTAGAGCCTGGGCTAGAACACAGGCTCCAAGTCAAGTGTTTGATCCACGCTGTCTGTGAGGAGGACGTCCAGGAAACAATCCAGGGCCCCGGGAGCCCCAGAACCTCTGACAGTGAAGGGGAAGGGGCGAGGGTGGGGGTGCAAGGAGCCAACTCACATGGCTGTGGGCAGGTCACTCCGGGCATCCAGCACAAGGTCAGGGACACAGTGCTCATCCTCATTGCAGCCGTTCCAGAAGGGCACCTGGGCCGGGGAGAGCCAGGTATGGGCAGCTGGGTAGGGACCCGCAACCCCTCACCCTCAACGTACACCAGCATCTGTCTCCACCACACTAGACATGCGCTGGCTTTCCTGCACTGTCCCCAGACATGACACTGCTCTTTCTTGGGCTTTTCCATAGATGCTTCCCTCTTTAAAACGAGGCTCAAAACTCAGTTCCTCCTGGTTCCCCTCCAGCTCATAACTGAGCTGATAGCACAGAACCCCCACCCCCACTCACCCAGCAGAGCAGTTCTGGTCAACATCTATTGATCATCTACTGTGTGTGGGCAAGGGCTTTGGTACTGGGGATATGAAGCAAAGAAGACACAGCTTCCGCCCTCAGCTCATGGGGAAGATTGGTGTACGAACAAATAACTAGTGTAAAATGTGCGAAAACTCCAAAAAGAAGTGCATGAGGAATAGAAGAGGCAGAGAGGAGAAACAGCTATTTTGGCCTGTAGGAAGTCAGGGAAGGCTTCAAGGAAGTGACAGTGGGTCAGAGTTCTGAAGGACCGTCAACGTAGCTGGGTGGACCGGGGTGGAGGTGGCGAAGTCCAGGAGGAAGGAGAGCCTGATGCAGAGGCCCTGGGGCAGGAGCAGGACTGAGTCGGAAATGATGGGTGGGTCAGTGTTGCTGTGATAAGAGGCACAGGGGTGAGATAGAGGAAGAGATGGTCATGGGCCTGTGTTTACAGGGCCTTGGGGTCATGCCTTGCAACTGGTAGGAGTTGCCGAATGCCTCAGGCAATGAGTGTCCTGACAGACCTGCACACTGAAGGCTGCCCTGGCTGCTGTGGGAGAATGGAGTGAGAAGATGGAGGCTCGAGGCAGGGAGGCTATTGAGGAGGCTGCCGCAACATTCAGGCAAGAGGTGATGCTGGTGTTGGTGCGGTAGTGGGCATGAGAGGAGAAAACAGGTTACTGACCCCAGAGGCGGGATCAATAGGAACCTGGAGGTTGTCGGGGCTGAGGGAGAAAGAGGTCCAGGGTGTCGGCTGAGTTTCTTTTTTATGTGTCTGGAAGGATGATCATGGCATTCAGTAATAAAAGCAGGGGTTGGCCGGGCGCTATGGCTCACGCCTGTAATCCCAGCACTGTGGGAGGCCGAGACAGGCAGATCACCTGAGGTCAGGAGTTCGAGACCAACCTGGCCAACATGGTGAAACTTCGTCTCTGCTAAAAAATACAAAAATTAGCCAGGCGTGGTGGCGCACGCCTGTAGTCCCAGCTACTCGGGGGGCTGAGGCAGAAGAATCCCTTGAACTCGAGAGGCAGAGGCTGCAGTGAGCCAAGATCGCGCCACTACACTCCAGCCTGGGCGAAGTGCCTGTGGCTCACCGGGGGCGAGGACCTCAGCAGGCAGCCGGATATTCAAGCCTGGAGCTGAGGGGCGGTAACTGTCACTACCAACAACACAGCCCAAACCAGGGACGAGGAGTCACAGAGTCATGTGTATCTTAAATTCATTACCTTTTCTCGAAGGAGAGCTCTCTGGCCCTCACTCAGATCCATGCGCTCTTGCTTTAGGCATGGATCTACCCATCTCGCCCCTCAGCTCCCCACCGCAAGGTGGATCTGCAGCTAGAAGTAGGCCGACTGCAATGGCAGCCAGCGAAGCCATATCCAGGGGTCGCTGTGGAGCCGTTGGGAAAGGGACTTAGTTCCGGATGGGGGCTTTATGGCATTCTAGCACCAAAGTTCATCCTGGTGACTTCAAGTCTCGAAGAAAAAACTGCCCGCTCCCACTAGGAATACTGTTTAAGAAGTTTGAGAACTATATAATGACCTTCAGAAGAATTTCTATCTGGCTGATTAAAATAAGTAATTTAATGTAATAAGCAAGTGTTACCCTCAATAATATGGAATGGCTCACTTCCCCAAGACGCCAGATCTTATGATATTAGAACAGTGCTGGGCATTTAGTAGAGGCAAAGTAAGACTTTTAGAATGATGGGAAGAATGTGTCTCCCTTGCTGGGGGCTAGAAATCCAGATAAACCAGAGTTTTAGAAACTTAGCTGCTCTTCAAAGTTTTCAGCTCTGTTTCTCACCTTTTCTTTATAAGGTGAGAAAGGGATTTACATGAAGCTGCAACCTGCCTTTCCTGTTTCCCTGCCTTGGTGATGCTGTCAGCTCTCGAGGAACAAAAGCCCATCCTCCCTGTCTCCGCATGTCTGAATCCTGCCTAGCCTTTAAAGTCCGGCCAAAGGCCACCTCCTCCAGGAAGCCCTGGCCTATCATCTGATTGCTTGATTGTATGTCCTCTGAGTGCATACTGCCTCCCGCCTGGCCTGTGCTGCTCATCACCACCTTGCACGGAGATCGTCGGTGTCAGAGCAGGGATTACCCTGTGTGTTAATCTGCACTGTGGGCTTCAGCCTGCTTGTGGGGTAAGTGCCATGTACTCATTCATTTGCCATAGTGACTTTGTAATTACTGTGAGAGGACAAAAATGACTTAGTGCACCCAGCTTTCCCCTTCTCCGGCTCACTAACGAGGAATCCAACTTCGCCAGCCCAGGGGCGCAGATTTAGGAGGATGGGGGGGAGGTGTGAGGACGGGGGTTTGGCGGGGGACTGTGGGAGGCCTGGGGAGAGGGGTGTGGAGGGGCTGTGGGGGATGATGGGTGTGAAGGAGAGAAGGGGAGGTTTTCAGGGGCATTGCTGCGGACTGTACAGTCCTTTCCTGGTGTTGAAGAAATGCAAGTAAGAACTTGAATAATTCTGAAACTGCTTCCTGGCCAGACTGTGTCACTCACACAGACGTTGCTCAGTGACTGGACCTCACAGAATGGCTTAAGAGTGCCGTGGTGTGTTTAAAAGTCGTCTCCTAAATCCTCAAGGTTCAGGCATTAGCTATTCCATTTTACAACTTTTGCCTGCTCTTACAGCGCAGCAGCAGAATTGATCACTGCCTGACATTTTCCTTGAGTGGGATTTACATGGAGTTGCAGCTGCAGGGGGCATCTGAATGTTAGATGTCAAACATTTTGGATGCCCTAGAGCCAGGGATTAGAAAATGCGGTTGAGGGATGGGGCCGCTTCTTTTTGGAATGCTTAGGAGCTCTGTCAATCAGTTAAAACCCTTCTTTTTGCAATACTTAGGAGCTCTGTGAATCAGTTAGTCATCTAACAAGCAGAACTCCGGGCTCTAAGAGTCACTCTCTGGTCTCCATTGTCCTCATCTGTAAAGGAGGGAGGTGGGTGATCAAGATCTCAGGTCCCTTCTCATCCAGTGATTCTTTGTATTTCTCCAGTGCTCACCCCTTATTCCCCTGTGCTGGGGATATGGGGAACCTTGAACAGGAGAAGGCCTGGGCCTTGCCCTTAAGGAATTGATCTGCTAATACTCAGCACAGGCCCCGAGGGAGGTGGGAAGCGGCCACACTGTGGGTTTGCCGGGACAGAAGGTGGGAAGGCGAGGTGAGGGATGGTGTCCTCTGCACCCGGCACACTCAGGCTCTGGCCTTTGGGGAGGAAGTGGAGGTGGGGGTGGGGTTCATGCCTGAGGTGCTTGCCCTCTACCGAGATGTACCGAGATGTACCGAGACTCTGAGGGTGGTGGGCCAGCCGTCGTCCAGCATGGGGCCATGGTCAGGGTCCTCCAGGGAATACTCGGCTGAGAAAGTCACTGGCTTCACGTAGTCAGCAGTGTCCTGGGGGGTGGAGACGAGGGCAGGGGTGAGGGAGGAGAGAACGTCATTTTATGAGCCAGGACCATGGATGCTGAGATAGAACTTTCACCTTCCTAAGGTGGCAGGGCAGCTGCCCTGTCCCCTCAGGATGAGTCCGCGGGTGGATGGAGGTTTCTAGCGGGTCTGTTGGTGGGAAGAGTGTGCCTCTGTGAAAGGAGCTCCAAGCTCAGCTCATGCCAACCTAGCTGTCTGGCTGTTTCACCAAGCTCCTGCGCATCCTTCAGGGCCAGACTCCCATTGCCCGGATACCTTGGCCTCCGGGAAGCCTGGCAGTGCCGGCCCGCCTCCCACCCCACCCACCACTCTGTTCAGACCAGTTACGCCTGCTGCTCACGTAGCATTTGAACCATTTGACTGTGGTCACTCTTCCTTCCCAAGCAAGGAATGGGCCTGGAGCCTCCCAGCATGGCCCTAGCACTGTAACAAGGGCTTCAGCATGTGGAATGGGTGAATGAACAAACTCGTGAGCAAGACAGGGGCACTCAGGTTGGTTCTGAGCATAGATGGTAAGTAAAAGGGTGGCTTATAGCTGCCTAAAACCTTCCCCTTGGAACTTGCAATCCTGATTATATAAAGGCAGTGGCTCTCAAACCTGAGCTGGTATCAGAGTCCCCTTGGAGCTTGTTAAAATATGGGATGCTGGCCCCATTCCCAGAGTTTCTGAGTCAGAACATGTGAATTTCCAAGTTTGTGGGGAGGGTGAGGATGCTGCTGGTGTGGATGCATCTCAGGGGATCCCTTAACAGGGATGTGCCTTCTCACACCTGCTCACGTCTCTGACCTCTGGCCATTGAACTACTGGGGCCAGGAGGGCTCTGAGTGACCTTGCTTGCATCTCTGAGGCTGGAGCTCTGGATGGAAGTAAACCTGTCATCCTCTTCCTTAGCTATAAAATGGGGCACCAGGCCACTACCCTGCTCGTGACATCACTGGCGCCCCTCTCTGTCTCTCCTCCCGTTTTGTACATGCGACTGCCTCCTGGACCTGGCCTTCAATTGTTAGCTGCTGCCTGCTTATCCCTCCCTTTGGGGCCGTGCCCCCCACTGGCTGCTCCTGGCTCTCTCTGCTGGACCTACTGAGCCCACCTTCCTTCTCTCGGCATCTGAGAGTGGCGGGATAAGAGGTTTTGGAAGGAAGTCCAGTGAGGTGGTGTGTAGCGTGTCTCTGGGGCATGAGGTGGGAATGTGGAGTGGCCAAGTTCAGGGGATACAGACCCCGGCTGGCTTCCTGAGGTCTGCTGGGGGCTCAGAACCAGCCAGCCACCCGGTGGACTCTCTGCCTCTCCCACGGCAGGTGCTCCTTCCTGTAGGAGCTTGGGCTCTGCTGGTGGGGCTGCCAGCTCACCAGGACATGGAAGTTGATCCTCTCACAGAGCTCCTGGCCGGAGGAGAGCAGGACAGCTCTGTTGGTGAATCGGTCCCCGCCCTCATCCAGGTGGGCCCTCGGTGTATACCGCCTCTCGTCCATGGTGGCATTGTATCTGATGCCTGCAGGAGGGGAGAGGGCAAGACCACAAAGGTGGAGCCACATGCCCATCCAAGACTGTCTGCCTCCTCCAGGAAGCCCCCCAGGCTGGCCAGGGGAGAGCTATTCCTTTCCTCTCACGAGCCCCAGTGTGGGTGAGAAACTCCCACATGGAGAGCAAGTGATTGCATGAGGAAGGGAAAGGAAGGAACCAAAGAAAAGGGGGAGGAAGAAGGTGGAGAAAGAGCAGGAGGAAGAAATGGAGGGAAAGTGAACACCGCAGACAAGGAGGGAGACAGGATGTGGGGCCAGGGCGGTGCCATGTTGAGCCCTTGCTGCAGTCAACAACCCCCTCCGCCTCTCCCTCCACCTTCCCTGTCTCTCCCTGGGCTCTGGGATCCCCCTCAGGGCTGGTCAGAGCCTTTGCTGGGTGCTTCCTGTCACACCAAGGAGGGCTGGCCAGCCCCTTCCCGCCGGCTCCTCAAACCTTTGACTCCATTCTGGGGCATAAAACCTGCAGCCTCCTCCCCTTCAGTTGGGTTTTGTCAATTCCAGGAAAGACTCAGTCCCTTCTCCTGCTCTCCAGCACACCCACTGGTTGCTGCTGGCTCTCATATCTGTCTCCTCTCAGGGATGGAAGTTGAAAGAGAGGGGCACAGCCCCCAGGCCCGCCTTTGTTCTCATCTTCCTTTTGGTCTCTGTCTGGTCCTGCTCCTTGGCTGAGACACTCCCTGAGTCCCCATTTCCTGTGCCAGCGCAGACAGTCCTGGAACCTGCAGCACACTTCCTGAGACCACCTGGACCCGGGGCTGTCAAGAGGATGTATCTGACTCAACTTAGCTGGAAGTGATGGACCCTCAGAAGGAAACTGCCCCGCTGCGGACTCACACCCACTTCTGAGCAAGGCTCCCTGCCGCGGACTCACACCCACTTCTGAGCGCGGCTCCCAGATGCTGGGGTCTCATTGACCTGGACTTCTGGTTTCCGGGACCCCCACTGTAGGATTCCTGGGTCTGCCTCTTCCTCTGCATCCAGGCAGACTTCTGGGTTTCCGCACCCCACTTTGCTCCACTGGCATCAGTCCTGTGTTCTGATCCAAACTCGGCGCCCAGACTGTGTCCTTCTTCTCTTGTCCTCCCTGTCATGATCACCCCTGCTCACTGCCACTCTCACCCTGGCATGACATCCCCTCTTTGGCACTCAGCATCCATTTCAGGAAAAGCCCAGGCTTTGAAATAGAGTAAGGTGCAGGGGGAGACTGGAGCCGGGGGGTGAGGAGAAAGGAGGGGCCTGCTTTACCAACAGTTGTCGTTTGGAAGTGGGGTGCCAGGAAGACGGGTGTGAAGCAGAGGAAGGCGGCCAGGCAGGTGGCATCCCTGCCACTGCGCTTGCAGTCTCTGTGGAAGATGTTGATCTTGGATGGCTCAAAGTGGAGGCTGGCATTGATCTGAACCACAGGGCGGGACCTGCGGGAGAAGGGCCAGTGAGCTGGGGTGGGGCAGGGGCTCAGGCTGCCCTGCTGTGACCACGGGGAAAGACAAGAACCAGATTCGAGTGGAATCTGCAAAGCCACTGGAGGGGGTGAGGTGGAGGATGGAGGGGGCTTTGGATGTCAAAGGATTGGCAAGAGGGAGCACAGGGGAAAGAGGGGCTCAGCCACCTCACAGCCCCTCCATGCAGCCTCTCAGCACTTTCCCCCAGGGGTTGTGCTCGCTGTGGATCATGCTGACTCCCCTTTGCTCCCTCATCACCTTTTCTAGCAGTGGTTCCCCACCCTGGATGCACATGTGAGTCATCTGAAGAGCTTAAAAAAAGTCCTGGTGCCTCAGCTACACCCTAGGCAAAACCGCATCAGAATCAGGCCTTCGCAGGTTTTAAAGCAGTGCCTCTGAAATTTTCATATGTGTGCATGCCCCCTGGGGATCGTGTTAAAATGCAGATTCTGATCCAATAGCTTGGCACCGATTTTGCATTTCTAACAAGCTCCCAGGTGATGTGAACGTTCCATGGACCACACTTTGAAGAGCGAGGCGTTAAAGTACCCTAGGTGATTTCAGCATGCAGCCAGCACCCATCCACCCCCACACCACCCCATCCAGGTAACCAAGGAAATACAAATTTACCCTTATACCAGCCTAAGTCAAATGTAATTAGGAACGAAACCTATTGCCTCTCCCAACCATGAATGTAGATGGAAAGAAATAGGAGTAGAGTGGCTTAGTGGTTTCATAGCTTCAACGTGATGATCTGTGCCAATACTCGACCTTGGCGGGTCACATGATCTCTGCAATGGGGGATTGTGAGGATCAGAGGAGGTGAGAATGTCCTTTGACAGCGTAGAGTGCTGTGTCAGCACAGTGGGCTACATCTGAAGTTCTCAAACTTGACTGCCCATTGGAATCACTTGGGGAGTTTTAAAAGAATTACTGCTGCGCAGGTCCCTCCACAGAATTCTGCTTTAATTGGTGTGGGTAAAGCGTGGGCAATGACATTTTAAAAGCTCCCCTGGCGATCCTAATGGGCAGTCATGTTTGAGAACTATGCGGCTTGACCATAAAGTCTTCCCAGAGGACTCTGGCCCACAATCTCATCACTATTTAGGTAGCACATAAGTGTGGACTTCAAAAGCTAGAACTTGATCCAATCATTTCTGTGATTCTGATTATCTTGGGGTGTGTGTGCATATGTGTATCTGGTTTCCTGTAGAGAAGTTTATGTGTTACTTTAAAGACCTGCTAGGTTCTCTGTACCTCTCTCCCCGGGCCTTGGTCATCTGCCTTGCTTTCTTGGTTGGAACCAACGCAGTGAACACCTTTACCACACCTTGCAAGCCCAGGCTGCTGTTGCTGCCACCATCACCACCACCAAGGACCTAAGAGCCCCCACATGCAGCACAGACCTTCGAAGAGACAGACCCTGCTCCTGTACACTAGCTGGGCTGCACAGGCCCTGGCTTCCCAGTGCTGCCTAGAGGGCCAGGGGACACCACCAGGACTGTCGGGCAGCAGATGCTCTGGCCATGACAAATGAGGGATCTGAAGGAGCCACAAGTCTGCTGCTCCCCCTTCTTTCCCTACAATGGGCTGTGTTATGCCACACTGGAAATGCCGAGATGCCGAGCAAAGAGCAGTACGCGTGGTGAAGACAGGCTGGCTTGCTCCCATCTGCGCTCCCTTCCGGCTTCACTTTTGCTTCTGGGATTGCACCCCACTCCCAAAGCATTCAAGAGGCTTTTGCCTCAGGCTCTGTTTTCTAGGGAACCCGGAGGAAGACATTTCCTCCTTGGGCTGTAGTAGCCTTGCGAACAGGAGCCCGTCTTTCCTTTATTCTCCCTGTGAAGTTATATATCTCTGTTCAATGCCTTTTTAAAGTTGTAGGGCAGATATAATTGCATTTATATAAAATTATAAGCAGCGGAAAAAGGACTGGGAGAAGATATGCCACAATATTAATAGTGCCATTGTTAAGGTGATGGCAGGCTGAGTAATTCTTTTCCTTATTTTATAAATGTTCTTTATGTTATTGTATTTATGATGAAAAATACCTCATCAACATATATGAAAAAATACTCAAGGTCTTTTTTTTTCTGGCTCAAAAAGTAGCCAACATATGGTAAAATAAATGGGTGTTTAGGAAGCATGAAAATGAAGCCCCGAAGAAAGGAAGCAAGAAGTCAGAGTGCTTTGGAGGAAAGAAATCTCTATATTAGATAAACATTCCTCCAAGCCAGGGTAGAAGGAAAGGTCCTCCCAGATGGTAAAAATATGCTCAACTTGCCCCTGCAAGTGTTATAGCTTGAAAAGCTGAGGTGGAAGACATGCTCGAGTAGCCAGAACTTTTAGGACAAATTCTAAGAGCGGGGGCTTTTGGACAGGACTTCAATTTATACTGAATTTACACTGATTCCACCAAAAGGAAATGTGTAAGGAAGTTGGGGTAAGAACAGGGTGAGTCTAGCTGAGGGCAGTTAAAGACAAGAGAAAAAGATCCTGAAGCCCGTTTTTAAAACCCCTGCATTCATTGTGACCTTCAGGAGAGCCCAGGAGGTGGGAACAGTGGGGGAACCAACCAGAGAATCACAGCGTTGCCAAGGGCTCCCACTGCCAGGTCGATAAGCCCATCCTCATTGAGGTCCAATTGCCCGTGGATGCTGCAGCCAAAATACTGGAGGCCGGTAGCCAGCTCTGAGGCTGTGATTCTCTGCAGGGAGCAGGAAGACAGGGGGAGGGCGTGCACACCGTGAGTGTGGGGGTGGGCGGCCCTGAGCTGCAGGAACAATCGGGAGCCTGTTTGAAATCATGAAGAAGCTTCCCCAACCCAAAGCAATCTCGTCTCCTGGCCTGTCACGGCACCTGAAATTCCTACCATTCAAGTCATTCTTTTGGATTAAAATATCATGTCTTAAAAGAGTTCCCTATTAAGTGTAAATACATGTGACCTGGCAAACGACCCATCCACGTCCCTCACACTGGTCTATTTTTTAGACTATCTTACTAATAAACCATGGGGCAAAAGGATGATCCTCAGGGGATGGGACCCAAGACGGGTCGGTTTTGAGGTGGGCACGATTTCTAGCACGAAGCGCTTCCAGAGAAGAGTGAGCCCAGAAGAGATGCTCCGCTGGTAGGCAATTGCATGTGTGCACGTCTTGGGAGGAGTGAGGGTCAGGTGCCAGGGATTTGCTGTTGTTTGTTGTTGGGGGAGGATAAAGGTAAGCAGGGAGAGGGTGCCAAAGTGGGTGGTGGTGGTGGGGGGTCCTGAAGGTAAAATGTGCCCTTTTCAAAATTTCCACATGGGGAAGCATGACCAGGACAGATTGGCATCCGTTCCTGTGAGAGGGCACGGAAGAAAATCCTGAACCAGATGAGGCACAGAAGCTCCTGGGACTCCTGCAGCCCCATTTGCTCCATCTACTTCCCCGGGGAAGCCTGACCTGCTTAGGCGTCTTCAGGATGCTGCCTCGGAAGCCGTGGAAGATGTAGATGGCTCCTGCGTGGTTGTCCTCCAGGGGCGCTCCCACCACCACATCGTCGTAGGAATCCTGGTTGAGGTCTCGAACTGAGGCAATGGAGGACCCAAACCGGGCATTCTGGTAACTGTGTGAATCCTTGAGCGTTCCGTTATAAACAAACCGATTCTGCAAAACCAGGGGCAGAAAAGGGCTGGGGAGGGCTTGGCAAAAGTCCCCAGGCTCATAATTCCCTCTGCAGGCTGCTCTAGCATCCTCTCCCCACTCCATTCCCCCAGATCCCCGTCTCTGGCTATATGAGCCCAGCCACAGACGAGGCTCTGATTCTCCCCAGGCCTGGCTCCAGCACTGGCCTCGCTAGTAACCCATTTCCCTCGTGGCTACCCAAGTCAAAGCAGAGGCTGGGGGCCCCCGAGAAGCTGCCCAGCCCCTGCCCAGCTGTACCTGTCTCAGCTCGTAGACGTACACTTTGCCTCGCTCGCGGCCCTCGCTGAAGTACATGGGTGCACCCACCAGCAGGACATCAGTGACACCATCTCCGTCAATGTCCACCGAGGTGATCTCACTCCCAAAGTAAGAGCCTATCTGCGGCACGTGATGGGAGAGAGGAGTGGGCTGGCTGCCCAGCTCGCACAGCCCAGAGTCCTTGCCTCGCCGGCAGAGGGAAGCCAAGGTCATCTTTTGACTCAGAATTTTTAGTGAACAAATGGGTCCTCCCTTCTCATGCGCTCCCTCTCTCTCCTCTCCCTCAGAGCGGACTTGCCTGTTTTCAGTTTGCCCTTCTCCCCTTCTCTCTTTTCCTTCTGTCATTATCCCCTTCCCACTCTTCTTTCTTTCTGTTAATTTTATTGGTGGCCATTTGTCTTGTGTGTAAAGTGAAATAATGGCAAAAAATAAGGAGAATATTTAAAAGTATGAAGAAGAAAACAAAAGTTACCCACAATCCTGACATCCAAATAAAACTACCATGAATGTTTTAGCGGATTTTCTTCTAGTTTTTTTCCACTGAGGCATGTTGCCTATTTGTACTTGTGTGTTATTTTTACGAATTGGAGTAATAATGTAAATATAGTTTATATACTGATTTTTAAATAAACAATATATCATCAACATTTTTCTATGATGTATTATATTTTCATCTACAACATAATCACTGATGATTCCACAGTGCTTAAAATTAATAAAAAAATCATAATGTATTTAATCAATTACTGCTGGACAGTTAGCTTGTATTTTTTTTTTTTTTTTGAGACAAGGTTTTGCTCTGTCACCCAGGCTGGAGTGCAATGGTGCAATCTTGGCTCACTGTAGCCTCGAACTCCTGGGTTCAAGTGATCCTCCCACCTCAGCCTCCTGAGTAGCTGGGACCACAGGCACTTGCCACTGCGCCTGACTATTTTTAAAAATTATTTTTAGAGATGGAGTCTCACTATATTGCCCAGGCTGGTCTGGAACTCCTGCACTCCAGTGATCCTCCCACCTCACCCTCTCAAAGTGCTGGAATTACAGGTGTGAGCCACTGTTTTTAATTTTTGATGTTATAAATCATTCTGGCATTAGCATTGTGGATGGTGAACTACGATTTATTTCAGTGTCTGAGCACTTGCTGTGTTCCCCTTCCGTTTGGGGTGCAGTGTTCCCCACTTCAGTGAGGACATCATCCACCCCCTCCTCAGAAACCCAGAAACCCTGACTCCGTCCTCCACCTCTCCCACCTGCAAACCTGCCAGCAAGTCCTACCTGGTGGGTGCCAATTCACCAACTACTCCCCCCTGCTTCTTTCCTAGGTGAGGCACCTTCTAAAGGGCCTTCCAGCCTCAGGCTGGCCTCTTCAGCCCACCCCCATAGCAGCTGGCGTGGCCTCTAACACCATTCCACCTCTTGCTTTTGGGGTGGTATCTAAACTCTCCAGCAGGACCGTGCTGGACCAGCCTCCGTCCCGAGCCTCTGTCCCCACAAGCTCCTGCTCCCAACGCAGTGCTCCTGGGTCCTGCCAAACTGAGTTATTTCTCTTCTCCAAAAGCCCCCGGCCTTGGCCGGCTTCCAGGCTTCCCTCTGCACAAGCTTTTCTCTTGCATGCACTCCCCACCCCTGCGTCCTCCCCAGATCATCCCCTGCCATCCCTCAGGTCTTAGCTGAAGTGTCACTTCCTGTTAGAAGCTGTCCTTGACCTTCTCCACTCCTCTCCCTGCCCCTTTTCCATGTGCCTTCAGCTCCACACTCCTCCCACCAGCCCCTGTTCCCTCTGCTGGGATTCTCATGAGGGTGGGCATTGAACCTGCTGTGTTCCCTCTGGGCCAGGGTACTGTGCCTGGTACACAGAAAGTACTTAATTAAAGCTGGGTTTCTTAGGAAAGGGGAAGGCACCCTGTTCGTGGACAAGCCCTGTTTGGGATGGTTTATAGCCTTGGGTTAGCTCATGTGACCCCATGCTGCTAGGAGAGAGGGTCATCCACATTTTACAAGGGAAGGAACCAAAAGTCAGAGAATTGGAGTTTCTTGCCCAAGGTCAGAAGGCCGGTCACCTGGTCACCGCCAAGCTGGTTGGAATTGGGGTCTGCCTGACACCCTGGCCCATGACTCTGCCTACCCTGTCCTTCTCTGGCTTAGTGTGTTTTCAGAAGAAATCTATTCTCAAGGATTAAAAGCTTTTAACTGAGGAGAAAGATAAAAAATTTAGAAGAGAGGAAAGGGAAATAGTATACATGGGTGGGAGAGGGAAAAGATGTGCCTACATAAAGTAACTAAGAAGCAGACAGAGAGCAAGTGAGGGAGGGGGCGGGGGAAATTTGTCTAAATATGTGGCCTCAGCTATGTGGGTCACCGCGATTTGGAATTCACTTAATTTAGCTGCCTTCAGCACTGCGGTTTCTCCTTCGGATGTTGGAGGCGGAACTGGGCAGGAAAAATGTCATAAATTCATCAGCAAATTCCCTCCAGCTCTCAAGGTCTAGCCCTCCATTCCAAAAGAGTTGGCCCTGGGCGAGTGTGGGCAGGCAGGGTGGAGGGTGAGAGCTTCGCTGCCTGGAATGGCCCGCACCCAAGAAACAGGAGGAGGAATGGCAGGAGGGTGGCACTCTGCAGCGAGACGGATTTAGGTTAGACTCGGTGAGGAGCAGGTTCTCACAGTGACAGGCCAAGGGCAGTCATGGGCTCAGGAGACAGGGCTGTTCCCAGGCTCAGGAGAGTCGACAGGGAGCTGGGGACAACATGGAAGGGCCTGGACAGCACTCAGCTCCGGCCTAGAGAGGGCACGGACGCTGCTGGTCAGGAGGAGCCCAGGACTGGTTTTGGGGTTATTGGGGGTCAGAAGGTGGCATGATGCAGGCAGCCCCACCAAGAGGGTTCTTGGCTTGACCCAGTCATGAATTCACCATAGAACCCTGGAAAAGCCACATTGCTTCCCAGGAGCCCAGTTTTCCTCTGCGCTGGAAGTGACTTGGATTGGAGCCCCGTTTTCACCACCAATGACTCTTATCATAGCTTTCCAATTTGCATTCATCACTGTCCAACACAGGACTCTTAGCAGCACAGTCTGGTTGCCAATCACCTCCCTGTGGGGCAGTGGCACTGGCAGCCTTCCCATTCCTCATTGCTTCCATTCCAGGAAAAGGGAAGCAGCTGGCATCCTGGAGGACCCATGGGGCCTTCTGTGGGTGGATGCACACTCCTGCCACTCCTGGCAGCATGAAGGTGGCTGGAGGAACATGACTGCCCTTCGGAGCACCCAGTGGCCCAGGCATGCTGTATTCACTGCCCTCCCATTTGTCTGATCCGCCCCTCTTCCCTCCGTCCCTGCCCCAGGCTCCCCCTCCATTACCTGCTGGCCCCGCAGAGCCTGGTGGATGGTGAGGCTCCGGTTGTTGTGCATGGTGAACAGGATGACTTTGCCCGTGTGGTTGAACCGGGGGGCTCCGGCCACGTACACCCGCCCCTGCCTGGAGGACACGACCGATGTGACTGTGTACCCTGCCACAGGAGGAAACAAGCTGATATTTAGCACCGTGTCCTCAGCAGGCCTTGCTTGGCCAGGGTGCATGGCTCGGCCGTGCCAGAGGATGGGCCAGAGGTGGGGTAGGTTCAGGACCAGCTGAGCAGATTCAATCATGCAGGGCTGTAATTCCTAGGGGCAGCTGGGGAGGCTTGGAAGAGGCAGGGCCCAGGAGAGGGGTTTGGAGGGTAGGGAGGACTCACTGCACCCCAGCCCTTACTGGAGAAAATAAAGGAAGCCAGGTGGGGCTGCTAAAAGACTAACTTGAAATGCACACATCCCTTCTTCACCAGCTCATGAGCACGGCGGAGGGCAGCAGGGAGTAGGGCAGACTCTAGCCTCACTTCAGTTAATATTGGGGAGACTTTGCTTTGGTTCCCCACCAATCTTCACTCTTAGGGACTAACCAGTGTCCTCTTTATTACCACAAATGCCTGCTAAGTGGCCCACTGAGGACTAGAGTGTTAATCGTAAAGGTGGAAGGAATTGGTCTGCTTCAGATATTCACATGGGGTCTCAGGGATTCTTGCAACCCCAAAGCTTTGCAGACTCAAAGGAGGAAGCTCCCAGGCTCCTGTTAGTCCCATACGTGCAGCATGCCAAAGAGAAAGACATGGAACCCCAGGGGCTCTTTGGGAAAGGCTGCCAATCCCTGCTCCCGGTATGGCTGTGCCTGATCACTGTGAATCTCATCACCCACCCAGTACCCAGGAAGCAAATGTGCAGCATCTTCAGGCAACTCTCCTGAAAGTGGGCTCCAGCAGGTGTGGAAAGCCAATGGCATCCCAGAATCCCACTTTCTGCCAGATAATCTTGGATCCCAGATTTTAAATGGGTGTTGGACTTTGTTGACAGTTCCTGGGCTGTTTCTGGGGAACAGATGTCTCTTGCAATGCACGTGTGTGTGTGTGCACATATATGCGTGTGCATATGTGTATCTGTGTGTGTAACACTGTCACTTGGGTCCCATTGGCTGCTTCCAGAGTGGCTACAGGGTGTACAGATGAGCTGACTCAGTGCCTGGGGGTGAACCACCCTGGTTCCAGACACAACAGTTTTCACTCTTGAGGCTGTACTTGGGGAAATGAGGCTTGACAGGTCCATGATACCAAGACCTCACAAGGGGTGGCTAACACGGCCATGTATTTAGAGCAACCATAAATATATGGGTGGGTGGGGCTTAGCCTTGTGGTGTGGAGCAAAGGTTTCTTCTGAGCTGAGCCCTCAGGGGCACTACTGAAAATGTTCTCAGTAAGCCTTGAGTTTCTGGGCCTGCTTGGAAGGAGGGGCACTGAGACGCAGTCTGGGGGCCAAGTGTCCTATGGGGCAGGCGTGGGTCAGCATTCAAAACTCACAGAGCTTCCTGCCTTCCAGCTGTCTGTAGGCAGCACCTTTGGTTCCCAGGCAACTCTCTGGCCAGCAGTAGGGGCCATTCTGAGGCTGGGCCAGCCTCCCTGAAGGCCTGATGAAAAGGTAGGGCCATGGCCCGAAATCTATACTGCACCCCCAGTGGAGGCTGGGAGCCGGCCTCCTGGTCTCTTTCCCCTGTAGTGCTCCTCTCCCTTGGGACACAGGAGGAATCTTCCAGCAGGCATCTCTGCCCCAGGAGAGAACCCAGACCCTGCTCTCACTGGATGACTCCTAGAGGGAGGAGGAGGAGGAGAAAAGGCACTCCCCAACACTCCCACCCAAGGCAGTGACTGTGGCTAAGGCATGACAGCTGGGCCTCATGAGTGTCCTTCAGCCAAGTTCTACCTCACCAGGGTCTTCTGGGAGGGGAAGCAGGGTGGCTCTGCTGGGCCAGGGGGATATTCATCCTGCTGTGCTCTCACTCAGATATGTTCAATAGCTCCCTGTTGCCAACATGAAAAAGCTCAAACCTCTTAACCTGGCATTCGAGGCCTCCTGCCCATCCTAACTTGCCCTCTCCTCCATGTTCCCACTTCTCCCCCCTGCTGTAGCCACACTCATCTACTTCTTGGGTCCTGAAAAAACCTGGCACTTCCCACATGTCCTTCTTTTGCTTGGCCTTTCTTGACTTATTTGAAATGTCCCCTGCGGTGGAGACCTGGTGTAGGCGCCAGCTCCTACACAGTGGGTCCTGAGTGTACCAGCTCGC